GGCGCAGGCGTTAGCCCTGCTGGCTCACAGCACTGGGGCCCTGGGCTGTCTGTGTGGAGTTTGTATGTTTGCCCCCATGTTCAGATGCTCTCGTTTCCTCCCACAGTTCAAACACACGTTGGTGGGTTCATTGGCTTCTGGGAAAACTGTCCCTGGTGTGAGTGTGTATGTATCAGTGTGCCCTGTGATGGACTGGTGTCCCATCCAGGGCGTACCCTGCCCTGCGCCTGTTGCTTGCTGGGGTAGACTCCAGCTCCCCCGTGACCCTGTATTGGATGAAGCAGTTAGAAAACAGATGGACAGATGCTTGCTGGTCACATTAAAATCCCGCCATCTTCTGTCCTCTTGCATGTCCAGGGGCGCGACCTGCGGACTGGACTCCCATGGTTCACAGCCGACTCACCTGCTTCGTAGACCAGAGCGTTGGCCTTAGCGACGGCTCTCTTGTAGCACAGGTGCAGCGCTGGGCCGAACTGCAAAAACAACACTGACGTTTCAGCGCCTGTGGCAGGAAAGCCAACCGAACCCACACAGACAAGGGCATAGGTTAAAACAGAGCATTTGTTCACAGTGGGCCTTAGACTTGTCCCCATCAGCCAACAGAATGTTGAAACCATAGGCAAACTAAGCCACATTGTTTTAACAACTTTACATGATCCTCAGTAATAGGACTCGCTATCAGAATGCCCCGCTGCCCCCACCCTCTTACACATCGATTAGCTTCTCCAGAAAATATCACATGCTTATCTGAGAGCAGTTTCTTTGTTTTGCATGACTTTACGCTCGGATATTTAAAATGGGCTTTTAAAATCTGAAGTCCTAATACGTATCTTTCATACGATGGAATATATTTAAAAGATGCTTCAGTTAACCAATATAAAAAAATAGTTCTTTGTTACTATAGTTACCTGGCTGCCCTTGGGGTAATATCTTAAGGCACCAGTACACCAGACGAACTCTAAACTGTGCTGTGAGCTCATCTGTGGGACCCCGGAGGGGAGCTCAGAACACAAGACCACTCGGTTAAGGGTTCGAATCTCAGGTTTGATATTGCTGTCATAAGTAAGACATGTGGCCTCACAAACTGCTCTATTCATTTATACTGGGTGGGTCTTCAGGTTGTAAATGAGAATGTTTTCTCTGCACAGATTAAATGAATGAAACACAGGGGTGTGGGGTGCCGTGTATAGGGTACCGAGGATAGTGTTTAGTGTGCAGGGTG